TATATATATATATATATATATATATATGTATATATATATATATAATCTGATCTATTATGATAAATTGTCTCTTGAATCTATCAATCTATTGAAAAGTTCAGGTAGTGGATAATTTAAACGAACGTTTTAAATATATGTATAGATAAACATTTCTGTAAAAAAGAATCGGTTAGCGCTACGATTAAGTCTTCATTTGCTTCATCAATAATTGTATAGCTCTTTTTTTGTAAAATAGCGATTATTCTCAGCCTTTATTTAGATATATTCGTCGATGTCGATGGGGCTGATAGTAGGAAAAGGATAGGAAGAGAAAAACGAGCTTACGCCAGCGTTTCGTGATTACAGTGATTTTCCGCAATTAAAGTCTGTTTAGTCATGGACCAGTACGTGGACTGCGTTCGCGAAACACATCTGACAGTGCAGCTCGACGCATTGCGTTTTATTTGCAACAGTCTGCGCTCATTGTTTGCCTCTATGTGAAAAACACAAAAATATAAACGCAGGGAGGATAACGCCAATTCAGAAATATAGAAGTGAAATTTATACTCTTCAAGTTCTGATAAACTTTAAAAAGCCTTTCTCATAGATTTGTGAACAAATTGCCATACGACTATATTTTATTTATTTATTTTGAAATTGAATTAACATTGAGTTAAGTGTTAATCTCATGAAATTTTAGTTGTAAATTGTGCACATTACGTTTTATTAAAACATAAATGTCTTTCGAATTAAAATACTGAAAAGGAATATTTTTATAATTTTTAATTTATATCAAGTTTATATTATCGATTATTTGACATGAGCAACTGTTTTATTAGTATAATAAGATTACGCGTGCTACAAAAGATACAAGTATGACAAGATATATTTTACATTACATAAATATAAATTTATATATAGATATATAATTTTTCTCTGCATTATTTAGCCCGTGCACAGAATCCTTTAATTTTAATTTGAATTGATAGGTAAATCGAAAATGATTAGCTTCGCTTAAAAATACTTTTCCTTCTTGATTTAGTGACATGACATAATTTATTTTTAACAAATTGGTTATATGATACATACGAAAACTTTATATAAAAATAAATAATCCCGATATCTAGATATCTAAATATTATCAATCAATTATCCAAAAATATTCACAGTACAACTAGATATGAGAAGACACTATATAAATTGTAACACTTCTCTTCGAGCGTGAATGATATTCTATTCATGTATTCACGATATCGGCGATATTGTAAAAGTAATATCCGCAAGTCACTGCAATTACCTACGGTAATTATTAACGTTGAATCTCTCGTTTGCAATGAGGAACGGTCCTTTTTAATTCACTTATACAGTTACATTGATACTCGTCATTAATGGATTAAATGCTAGACGAGATAAATATTGAAATTAAACCCATATTATATCTGGCATAATATATTTACAAGGCGAGGATGCATTACTCTCATTAATAGCGCAAAAGGCGCCTCTTTATTTGAGATTGCTCGTATGATGCGCGATTATATACGAATATATTTAATCCGCGAAAATGTGGAGAGTCTCACAGACACCAAAATCCGGCATCAATGTGTATCTCACGCGCGGGTCGCGGAGAGAGTCGCAAAACAAAGGGGCAAGCCCGTTGTAACATCTGTCATTACGACAATCCAATGTTTTTCGCGCGTGTGTGACGTCCGTTGTTATACACGCGATCAGTTGATTTATCACGAAAGATATTACAAAATATACATCCGGACGCGTTTTCATATCGAGTACGCGCTTTCATCTCGCGCGTATGCCATGTGCGTGTTGCAGTAAAAAATTACGCGCGGAGCATAATTGAACATAAAGCTATTACGTACGCGCGGTTACTGTGTACTTTTTTTTTACATAAAACGAATTTTTGACGAAACAAAAAATTTCTCTTTTAATAAAACTGAATTATTGATCGCAATCCAAACGAGATGCTATCTTGTCGTTAGAGATACTATTATTTCATTTTTTAATCTACTTAGAAACAGTCAATTTTTGATGCTGTAAGAAAGAATATGAGAAAGAAGTTGTAATATTTACTATATCTCGCGAAATGTAATTGCGGCTGTTTAATAGAGTATGAGCAGAGAGGTCAAAGACCGAGATATGTAAGAAGAATATAATTGCAGGGGTGCCTGCGAGGACTATCCACTCATTTGCAATGTGCCACGTCGCACTCTGGCAGTCCAGGGGAATGATAGATGAGCACCAACTATTCCGCGCGCAAAGCGAGCTTTACCTTTTTGCTGGAATAATCTCAGACAAGGATTTTCGACGTGATGCCCGTGGTCGTAGAGTATGCGATAATGGCCCGACATGCGCGCGCGATTAATGCATTATTACGCGCTCCACCGACACCGCTTTATCCTTATCGCCGTCACGCCGCCCGCGCCGTTGTCATTGTCCTGTTTGGCTTTAACTACTCTCGTCGCCCTAAAAGCTGAAGATGAAGTAGCGGCGCGGTGCTTTCAGGAGGTTTTGTCAGTTGCTCTTAAAACGATTCCCAGGCGCTCGCGCCGGCGAGAGAACATGAGCTACCCTTCATAAATTTTAAAAGAACCGCCGCCGGTTATATGGAAATCTTTAACAAGAAAAGAAACTAAATAAAGTATAAAATGTATTCAAAGTATAATGAATTAACAAAGCATTGTATTTAAATCAATCTTTCAATCTCACAAGCTATTTTTTGTTATAAGCACTTCAATTTCTTCCTTCCCTAATTAAATGGCAATTTTGTTATAAATTGGCAGATATAACAAAGCGAGTAAAGATAACAAAACTTAATAAACTACATATACAGAATTTATGGTATACATTCCAATTTCAGGATTTTTGTCCCTCTATATGCTGCAGATTCTCTTCGATGGATTGTAGTCCAGGATTCTTTCAGTTACTTTCTTCCTTAATTAAATAAAAATAATTTTATTATAAATTAGCAGATATGAAAATTTAATAAATTATATGTACAGAATTTAATATTATCCATTCAATATTTTTTGTCCCTCTATATGTTGCAGATTCTCTTCGACGGATTGTAGTCCAGGATTCTTGGGAGAGACGCGATCGAACCGATTTCGCCTGTTGGTTATCCGCAGATTTCTCTCCGTGAAGATATACTTCTTCAGATAGTCGCTCAATTCGCCTTCGAAATTATTTTTTGACCTTCTATCTGACACCTCCGACATTGCGGTGTACTCATCCGTCCCTCTCGACGCGTCCTGCAGACGACGCCCCAATCCCGCATTCGTCTCCTTCAATTTTTCGTTAGCGCCTCGCAGGTCGTTTACTCTGAGCCTAAGGTCGAAGTTCGACTTTCTCGAAGCGGCGAGCTCGTCCTTTAAAGCCACTCTCTCCGATTTCAATGCGTTTAATTCTTCCTTAAATATCTCGAGCTGCGACCTCGACGCCGCCTTCTCGTCCCTCAGATTCATCAGTTCGAGTTTCAAAGCCTGAATCTCCTCCACCGTCGCCGCTCCACCGAAGTCCGCCCTCGTTTTCTCACCGTCCAGGCAGGAGTTGCGACTACTGCGCGAGATATCCGCTTTCATCCTCGGCGCCCTATTCTCGGGCTGATCGATATCGTGCGCCGCGGTCCTTTCGTTACTCCCTGATGACATCTTCGGATCGGCGAGATAATTAGAATAATTGCTCGCTCCTTTCTCGTGCGAGATTTCAAATTTCTTCAAAATAGGATCGACGATTTCTTCGTCGTCCGACGCTTTCGTCCAAGCCGCCGGGCCTTCGGATGTGCCTTCCGTCAGTTCCATCGCAACCTCGGAGTTTTCGGACCTCAAATTTGCCCGCTCCAATTTCAAAGGCTTATTCCCGCGTCTCTTTAGCTCGCCCTTTGGTTCGTCTTTGATCCCCGCTTTGTTATCATGACCGACGCGTGTGTCAGATTCTACTTTGACTTCTGTTCCGCCGTCCCTCTGCTCGCCAATTTCGACCTTTACGCTCGTGCGCGAGGTATCCGAGCAATTTTGCTTCTGCTTAATCTCGTTATGAGCGCCGACGAATCCCCGCTCGTGGTCCCCCGCAAGCGGATGCCGCGTATCGATCTCCTTTAAATAATTCTTACGATCGTTACTCTCGTCGTGCAACGCGGCCGCAGCGAGCCGCAATGCCTCATACTTCATTCGCTGAATCTTCAGTTGATTACCGAGTGCTCGGCACTCGTTACCGATTTCATTTATTCTCCCTCTCGCGTCGTCTCTCTCCCGCCTGAGCTCGACGTTATCCCTCTCCCGCGTGTCGCAGGTAGCCCGAAGGAGAGTATTTTCCGCTTTCGCTTTGTCATTTTCGACCCTTGATTTATTCAATTCCATGGAAAAATATTCATTCTCCTCTCTCGCCTTATTCAGCCGCTCTCGCAGGGCGACGTTCTCATCATCGAGCTCGTTAATACGCGTCGCGAACTCGTTCTTTTCAGTCAACAGCACTCGTACACGGTCCTCGGCCTCGGCATTCCGTAGCGACAGCATATCCAAATCGCCGACGACCCTCGAGTTGTCCGATCGCAAACGCGCCGCTTCAACGGCCGCGTCTTCCAGCTCCGTCCGCATTCTCTCCAGCTCGAACTTTAAATTCTCCGCGGCAGCCTCGCGCTCACTTATCTTCTCCCGAAGGCCGTTACGTTCGGACTTAAATTTGTTAACTTGATCCTGCAGCGCGGCGCACTTGTTATTGGCATCGGCCATCGACCTATCCAACAATCCTTTCTCGGACCTCAACTCCGATAACTCTCTCTCAAGTTGTTCTTTCTCGTTCCGAAGCTGTTTGACTTTATTCCCCGAAGCTTTGTACTCCGCCATCAGCCTGTCGAATTCGCTCGACCTTTCCTCGCCGATGCTCGTCCGGCAGTTCAATCGATACGTCAACGACTGCTCGTTAGACTCGAGATCAGAAATCTCACCCTCCGACCCGGCCCCGTCACCGACGGCTTTATCCGGCACGGGCTTCAAATAGCCGATTTGCTCGTCCGATTCCTTGTTCGGACTTATTTCAGGCTCATTTGACTTGGCTTTCAAGCACTCTAATTCTTCCCTGAGGTTTCGTGCACGCTCTTCAGCATTGTCTCGCTCCCCCCCGCCGCTTTTCTCCACCGAACTTTTCAATTTGCCCAGTTGCTCGTCGCGTACCTCCTGTTTCCCAAGTCCCTCAATTATACTTTTCAGTTTTACATTTTCGTCGGAAGCGATCCCAAGTTTAGTCTTCAGGTCCTCCGTCTCGGCCCTAAGGACCGCTTTCAGCGCGTCCCCCTGGGTAATGATATTCTCAATTTCCTTGTCTCTCACTTCGAGAGCGTTACGCAACCTACCCGTTTCCCCTAACAACGTCTCTTTGTCCTCGCGAAGGCTCAGCAATTCTTTCCTCGCTGCGTCCATTTCAATCTTCATCAGTTGCATCTCTGCGACACGCCGCTCGGAATGATCGCGTTCAAGTTCCGATAACTCTTGTTTCCCCCTTTTTATATCCTCCCGAAGAGTCTCGTTTACCTCGCGCATGTCAGCGATAATCTTCTCGTACTTCTCACGATCTCTCTCCGACGTTAATCTGATGCTCGCACGTTCGTCGTTCAGCCCACTTATACGCTCGTTCTTTTTCAACAATTCCGATTTTAAATACACGACCAGGGCTTCGAGCTGCTCGATTCTCTCACGTAAATTCGCGCGATCATCGAAAACTTCGAGTTCCCTCATTTTGCAACACAATCGCTCAATCAGGTCTTCCAGCGCTTCCGTTATTTTCTCGTTGGTGCTTATAACTTCCGGCGGGGCCTGTTTCAAAATGGCGATTACCGCGATTGATTTTTTAACGATATCTTCGAGTTCCGTGACTTTGGTCATGTATCGCGAGCCGCTTACGCCGCCGATTTTGCAATACTTATTCATCGGTTTTATCTTCAGCTTTTCAATCTCGCTATCGATTTCCTGGAGGAAATCATTCAATGACGAAGCGGTTTCCAAGCATCTCTCGTACCGAACGTTCTCGCGCGATCGTTCATCCATCGGCACGTCCGATCGTCCGAGCTCCACGGACAGCACTTTCAGGTTTACTCTTAGATTAACCACCTTCTTCATGTATCTCAAACAGTCGGGATCGCCGGCGGCGATCATCGCCTCGCGATCGCTCTTTAAATTGTTCCTCAAGTCGTTCATCAAGCGCTCGATGCGCTTAACAACGTCCGGGATATCCGTGGCGTCCAAACTTTCGCTATGGTTCGCATTCTCGCGAATAATTCTCAGCCGGCCCATCTCTCCCATCAATTGTTCGGCGAGATTGTTCAATTCGCCGATCCTCTTCCGATATTCCGCTCTATTACCGCACCTCAATCGCAGCATCGCCCTTAATCGATCGAGCTTGTGACGCAGATTCCTGTTCCTGGTCTTGAACCTGTACAAATTCTCGCTAACGTTCACGAGCTCCTCCGACAGGCCGATAATCATCTCGACGGTCTTGCCGATCGCGTTCGCGAAGATTATTTCTATCGTCCGATCGCCCCTCGCGAATTCGTTCAGCTTGTCCCTGAGTTGCTCCACCAGCACGACGCTCGTCTCGCTCTCCTCGGCCTCCTTCAGCCGCCTCTTCAGACACAGAATCTCCTCGTTCATACGTTCCCGCTCGCTCGTGAATTCGTTCTCGAGCGTGGCGATCTTATCGCCTATTTCGCAGACGGTGACACGCGCGCGATCCTTCTCGGCTTTCGTCAGGGCACGCTTCAGGCTCGTTACTTCGTTCTCCAGTGCGCCGTTTGCCTGCTCCAACCGGTTAATCTCCTCCCTCTGATGCGCGATCAAAGGGTCGATCTGCTGGCTATCGTTCTCATTCTTGTCATCCACACGCAAAGCCATTTTCATCCGCCAGATATTACTCTTCAGTTTCGCGCTATCGTCCCGCCAGTCCCTCATCTGCCGCATCACGTTATGCAGCTTGTGCAGGGTCGCAACAGCCATTCGGGCGATCCTCGTCTTCTCCTCGACGGCGACGTCAATCGCGATCACTGACAAGTAATCGTCGAGATATTTGTCATTCATCGCTGCCTCTTCAGTTTCACCGGAGTTATGTAACACGTGACAGAGCGGCATCGAGCGGGAGATAATGAATTTCGCTAAACACATCGATGGTATATAGCTATTAAAAGTTCACGTAAAAAATCTTTTATGTACATGTTTATACGTGTATAAAATTATTTACGACTCTACCTTTATATGCAGATTTTCATTTAAATCATTATAAATTTTTGAAAATGTTCCGTTGTGGTTAGCGCTGTGCCGCTAATAAATCCATTTAAATGTCAATTAATTTACGCTATTTTATTAATTACATTGTACAAATATCGATTGCTATTTTTTATTAAGCGTACAGCATGTCACGGTAACAATAATATCAATAATTTGCAACAATTTCCAATTATCTATAAATGTTTCATCAACTTGTATACTTGAGAATTTTCGTATATCGAATTGTCACTAATGAGCGGCGCTTCGGAAGATAGGAAATCGATTTTCATGCGTACTGGAAGCACAGATATCTTCACGTTTGACAAGCTGTTAACATGCGCAGTATGTTACATACATACATACATACACATTATTTATTATACATTTTGTGAGAGCTAAGAGCCCGGCCGTTGTTACGGCAATTCGATTAACGAAACGGTGATTTTGCACGAGTAAACGCAGCGGACGGCGCGCGGCGAGCAAAAAGGGGGCGGAAAGTTTCGTGAAAGTTCCGTTAACCCCTCGCACCGCATCCGTGTTTTCCTCCTTCCTTTGCAATTACCGCGCAGATTTAATTGATGACGGGCCCTCTCGATAAGTTCTCCAACAGAACCGAACTGTGGTCCAAGTGCTCTCGAAACTCTCGAAACTTAAGAAGCGTTCAGTATCGCTGCGCCTGGCCCTCAATATCGGAACACCTAATAAGACTGCTCTAACGAGGACTTTCGCCGGGGCATACTGCGCCCAATTTAATTATAGCGACCGCTTAATTATGTGGGTCGTACGTAATCGGTACTTCCGGTTTCCCGGGGAGCGCGCGAGAACTTCGCGAGTGAGAAACTCGGTGAATAATGCGCGTGTTCTCTCCGCATCGAGCATCTCCATCTCTATCGACAACAATCTCACGTATAGGATTCTCTGGTGCGATCGAAATTCTTGATATAAAATCGCGACGAGACAGTTTATTTAATATGAGCTTGCTGTTAACCGCTGAAGATTCTGTTTATTTTGTATATACATATATACATACATACAATTTTGGAAACTAAGTTATCCGGAATTTGGAATTGCAAAATCGAGTTATATCGATCTCACTATCAATGTCGCTGAGTCACGTGTCGAGACTGTCGAGCTCATTGAGATTAGTATATATGCCAATACTGCCTGACATTTCACGAGTTTCCGCGCGACCTCATATCTGCATAAAAAGATTTTATCTTGGCAAAGCTTCTTTTTGCGAAACAATGATAGCACGCTGCACCGTCACGGGTTATCCGTGAATTGACCCGAGGCATAAATAACTTGTTTTTCATTCCGATAATGTTAGAGGTACTATCTAGAACTAGCACCGGATACCAAGTAACTTTTACATCTTTTATCCGATTTACGCGCTCGCCGAAAGTACGTCGTAATGATTGTAAGGGCATTTTCAGGAATAAATTCGCGTCGCGGAACGTATACGCTATGCAGAAAGGTTAAAACGTGGTTCTCTCCAAATTGCACCGGGTCATGGACGATCGATACGCACCGCCGTTTTGCTCATGCGGATGCCATGCACCGCGGCCGGCGAAGCCGATCGAATCGCCGCCGCACGAGCCGTGCTGTTGCTGCGAATACAACCCATTCAGCGACAATTCCAAGGAGTCGGAGATCTACGACTTGCCGTTTGCCCTGCGAAAACTGACGGTAATGAAGTGCCAGATGAAGAAGTGGCGCATGGAGCGGCTGCAGCTCGAGAGCGAAAATAGGTCTCTGAAACGAGCTCTGCGATCATTCGGTATCGGTGTTCCACTTCATAGCCGAACCTTTCCTCCCCCCCTCACGCTATATCTCTTATGGAATAAATTTTATAAGAAATGGGCGTTCAAGTATATATATGAAGAGTAATTTTATTTTAGCACGTTGCTTTTCCCGGCGCGCCGGGAATTCCACTTGTGGAACGATTCTGTAATAAAATCTGTTCCATATCGATTTTGGATATTTCGCGAAACTATCAAATGAAAATATTTCGATTATCAAAGTAAACGATTCTCCGATGTATATATCTGCACTATTTCACAAGTTTCCTCTTTCGCGTTCTTTACTTTTAAGTTTGCGTAGCACCATCGATGTGCACGGTTCACCGTAAGAGGCCCGCGTTTTCTTAGTTCATATAAAAGAAAGTACCGAATATGTATTTCGGGCGGTCAAATAATTTCCATATATAGGTGTGAAGCCCGACGGGGTATTGGGCACTGATCCCTTGCTTGTGCATTACCGCGAGGAAAACGAAAGGCTGCAGAATGCAAATGAGGAACTGGCGGAAAAAGTTTGCAACCTCGGGGAGAGCCTCGCCGAACGAGATTGCTGCGACGATCCGTGCGAAAAAGTTAAATACGTGAGGGAGAAAATAGCTGCGCTGAGAGATCGTTTCGCTGCCGAAAAAAAACAGTACGTAATGCCTATTGACTATGAAATTTCGCTAAGACGGTTTAATGAATCTCTCTCTTTCTTTCTTCTCTCTTTCTCTCTCTCCCTCTCCCTCTCTTTGCAATTTGCTTTGATGAGTGGAAAAATAATTGAGCAATAAACAGAAAAAGAATGGCAAAAAGGGCTGCTATGAAATTAATATTAAATTAATCGTTGAGGAAATAATCGTAATGGCAAGAACAGACTTCTGTTTTAGACTCCGCGAAGTTATATAGCTTTAAAAGGAGATTAATCACAGTTCGTCGGTCGCGATATTTCCTCGAAAACCATCTATCTTCATTAAATATGGTACGCCAATATAATTACGTGCAAACGCTGTTAATATCGTGACAGAATGCGAGACACGATTTCGCATCTGAAGCTGAAACTGGCGGAAGCCGAGGAGGATACTTCCTGTGCGGCATTAAATCGTTTGAGGGCAAAGCTTCGTGAGTTAATGAAAGATGGTCAGAAGGTGGATCAACAGGTGCCCGCGGTTGTCGAGAGATCAATGCAGACGTCGGTGGATCTATCAAAGAGCCACGAAGATCTGTTGCGAGCGGAGAACGAGCGTCTGCAGGCCGAACTGGCGCAGATTCGTCGTTCAATGGAGGAGGTTGTCACACCGGTCACAGAGGAGCGTGTCCCACCTTTACCCACGGACGACGAAGAAACGGACATGTCGGCGCTGCTAAGTCAGCTACGTAATTGCGAGACGCTTCTGGCTGAATTAAAAACGCATTTGGACGAGAAGACGGCTCACGTGGAGGCTCTGCAAAGTGAGCTTGATCAACAGAAGAGAGCCTCTGCCGCCGCACTTGCATTAGATGTGGATCAGATGACCGTCAGCCCTGCGACCATGATGGATGAGATGGCCGAGATGAAGGAGGAACCTGAGAAACCTGACGATAAAGTATATATCTCCCTTTATTTCTCCCCGTGTTTGTAAATACTCGTTGTCGTACGGTCGCGCGTTACGATACGTTAAAAGTCATGAATGTTTTATGCACGAGACACGTTACACTCCTGTTTCGTCGAGATGAGACAAATGCCAGGAGGATGTTTATACTTGTCCAACTCCCGCAATAGTATTCATGGACAATTGGGTGTTTGTTCGCAGATTACGGAGCTACTCGAAAGCCTGCGGCAGTCGGAACTGGCGGTGCTGGGCGTGAGTAAGTTGCAGAGCGAGATCGAAGATATGAGGTCCCAGCTGTATAATCTTGAGACGGAGAAAAAGGAACTTCTCGATGAGCTGGGGAAGATACGGAGCGCAGTGTCCGAGAGAGACCGTCAAATAAACGAGCTGAACGATGAACGCGAGTCCCTGAAGGAGGAGATTGCGACAATAAAATCCGAGCGCGACGAATTAAATATTAAGAGTGCGTTGTTAGATAGGGAAATTCGAAAAATGCAAGACGATTTGACGAGAGTGAAGGAGGAGGATAACGAGGTGAAGAGCGAGATCGATAAGTTGAACGTTGACCTGCGTCTCGAGAAAGAAAAATTTCAAGTGGCGCAAAAAGAGCTGGGGGGCATGAGGGACGATTTGCATAGTCTCGGGGCTGAAAATGAATTCTTGAAGGAGACATTGGAAAATGCTAAATTGGAGACTAACGAACTTAAGGAAGAAAATGTTGCTTTGAAAAACAATCTTGATAATATGATTAAGGAATTGGAATCTTCGAGAGAGGAAAATAATAATATTAAGGCAAAGGTAGATCAATTATTATCCGAGAATGAGCGTTTAACGAGTGAATTAGAAAAGCGAGTGACGGAGACGGATCAATTAAAGTCCGAAGGAGTTGCATTGAAGGACGGTCTCGATAGACTGCTACGAGAAATGGATAGATTAAAGGTTGAAAACGATAAACTGCAGGACGAAAGTGCTGTTGTTAAAACCGAAAGAGACAGTCTGGCAAGTGAAAGAGACAGCTTGAAATCCGAGAATGGTCTTCTTAAAGACGACTTGTCTAAGACAAATGTAGCGTTAGACGACGCAGAGAAACAATTGAGCAAATTTAAAGTCGAGAATGGAGTTCTTACGGAAGAATTGGAGAGGGCTAATGTAAATAATAACAAGCTAGTCGCGGACTTCAATACTTTGCAGAGCGAAATGGCAAAGTTGAAGTCGGAGAACAGAAAATTGTTACAAGAAGCGGATGATGGGAAAGAAGAACTAAGAAAGTTATTGTCCGAAATAGAAACTCTGAAAAAGGAAGCGGATAATACAAGTAATAAATTGACGAGGGCAAATAACGAAGTTGCAGATTTGCGGCAAGAAGTGGCCGGGTTAAATAACGAACTGAAAGGGACGAGAGTTATAAATGAACAGCTACGGGCGGACGTTCGCCGAACAGAAGTGGAGAACGAAAATATTAAGACGAAGATGAATAACTACAGGGACGAAAATGATAGGCTAAACGCGAAGCTAAACGAACTGCAGGAACAAATAAATTTATCGACGGACGAGGTAAATAAATTAAGAGGACAGCTCGACGACGCCGAGGCTCGAATGAAGTTTCTCGATGCTCAGATCGCTAGTTTGCAGACCGGTAGGGACAAGATGCAGAATGAGATCAACGCTTTGCAAAATGAGATCAGCAAACTGAAACTAGATCTAAGTGCGGAAACTACTGCTAAACGAGACATTCAGGAGGAATTAGCGGCGTTGAAGAGCGAGATGAAAAATTTGATCGCAAAGATCGACGAGATGAAGGTGCAAAATCATGTTTTGAAAGAGGAGAGAGACGCCCTTAAGAACGAGCTGTTGAATCTGGGCGAGGAGTCGTTGAGCCTAAAGGCCGTGAATGCCGAGATGACGAGCGAGATTAATAATTTAAGACCGGCCATATCTGATCTTCGATCGCAATTATCTAAAGCGGAAGAAGATATTGAATATTGGAAGTTGGAAAATTGCAAGCTTAAGATGGAGGCGGATAAGTTATCCGCCGAGAACGAAAGGACAAAGGGAGCTTTAAACGTCTGTAAGGTAGAGATAATTAGTTACGTATTCCTCCTGTGTAACTTTTTATGCCTTTGATAATAATCACATTGAAATTCATCTAGGTTGAGCATCAAGCGTTAGAGAAGGAGATAACGAATCTTAGAAATGAGAAGATTAAGCTCGAGGGAGAGATCGCGGAACTTAAAAATCTGTTAGAAGGACTGAATCTGTCTTCATTCGCCGAAAAATCCGCTAAAGAAGAGGCAGTGGAGAAACTGACGAAAGTTACGGATGAAGTCGTCGCTTTGAAAGAGGAACTTGAAACATTGAAGTCTGAATTGGCGAAATTAAGAACGGAGAACGATAAGATAAGAGATAAGGAAGACAGTTTGTCGCGCCAAGTATCAATGTTAAAAGCAGAAATAGAAAACACAAAAAATGAAATATTAGCTTTGAGATCAGACAATGAGACGTTAAAGTCAAAGGCAAATATGTTAACAGCCGACAACAACAAATTGAAAAATGAATCAGATAGGCTAATATCTGAAGTTGACGGGTTGAAACTGGAGAACGCGGGTCTGAGGGAAGAACGACAGAAATTCGAGGAAGAATTTGGCAAACTGAGAGGCGAGGGTGACGGGCAGAGGGCCGAAATTAAAAGTCTGAAGTCCAGCCTGATAGCTGAACAGGCATTATCAGAAAAAATTGGATCGGAATTATCTGCTAGCCAATCGGAAAACGATAGATTGAGAGCAGAGTCGGAGAAGCTGCGAAAGAATTTAGATGCTCTCGAATTGACGAATGGCGAGCTGAGCAGCGAAGTGGAGGATTTAAAGAAAACGTCGAACGACGCGCGAAACAAGGTGGACGCATTGCAATATCATGTGGCCGCGTTGCTGGAGGAGAAGGAGGCACTTCTGAGCGAGTTAGACGGTTTACGAGCGGAAGTGAGTGGATTAGGTAAAGAAGTTGTGTCAGATAAAGCCGCGCGGGAAGTTGGTGAGAAAAAGGCGATCGTTCTGAGCGGTGAATTAATGGACCTGAAGGCGGAGCTGGATAAGACGCGTGTGGAAAATGAGAGTTTGAAGCTGGAATTGAACGACGCGAATAAACGGTACGCCGCGTTAGAAAACGAGAATGCCGTGTTGAAAATCGAAAATATTAAAATAGCGACGGAACTCGATTCCTACAAGTTGGATTTAACAGTGGCGAGGAATGACCTCGATAAGTTCCAAAATGAGAACAGCGAGTTAAAAGGGAAGATCGATGAATTGAAGAAAGTACTCGGCGATGTCGAAACGAAGATTAAATTTCTCGATGGACAGCTTGTTGACTTGTCGAATGAAAAAGAGCGACTCGAAAAAGAGGCGAGCGACGTGAAAGCTCAGGCTGCGATTTCAAAGGCTCGCGCTGATGACGCACGTGCGCAGCTTGATGACTTAATTAACGAACTGAGCGCGGAGAAAACGAGCAGGAGCGTCGCCTTAAAGGAATTGGACGCCTTAAAGGATGCTTTGGTCCAATTACGAGACGATTTGAATAAATGCAGGGCGGACAACGAACGACTGACAATCGAATTGGCCGCTTCGGAAGAACGAGCGTTAGCGATACGGAGAGATTTCGAGACGGCTGAAACGATCGAAACTGAAAACAGCAAATTGAGAAAAGACGATTTGACGAGAGTGACGGACGACGTGGAAACTCAGGCTGCGATTTTAAAGGCTCGCGCTGATGACGCACGTGCGCAGCTTGATAACGTAATTAACGAGCTGAACGCAGAGAAAGCGAGCAAGAACGCCGCTTTAAAGGAATTGGACGCCTTAAAGGATGTTTTGGCCCAATTACGAGACGATTTGAATAAATGCAGGGCGGACAACGAACGACTGACAATCGAATTGGCCGCTTCGGAAGAACGAGCGTTAGCGGTACAGAGAGATTTCGAGACGACTGAAACGATCGAAACTGCAAACGGCAAATTGAGAAAAGACGATTTGACGAGAGTGACGGACGACGTGGAAGCTCAGGCTGCGATTTTAAAGGCTCGCGCTGATGACGCACGTGCGCAGTTTGATGACTTAATTAACGAGCTGAACGCAGAGAAAACGAGCAAGAACGTCGCCTTAAAGGAATTGGACGCCTTAAAGGATGTTTTGGCTCAATTACGAGACGATTTGAATAAATGCAGGGCGGACAACGAACGGCTGACAATCGAATTGGCCGCTTCGGAGGATCGAGCGTTAGCGATGCAGAGAGATCTCGAACCGATCGAAACTGAAAACGGTAAATTAAGAGAAGATGATTTGGCGAGAGTAAGGACGGCGCGTGATGAAGAGCGGCAGGTTTTAGAAAAGTTAAGGATAGAAAATGAGGAATTGCGGGACGAGCTAAGAAGGGCACAGAATGAGATCAATAAATTAAAAGAGAATATCGAGAAATCGAAAGGCGATTTTCTAGAGGATGTGGACGATATCGACAGGTTTGAAAATGAATTGAAGAAATTGATGATCGAGATAGACAAGGCGAGAGAAGATTTAAAGCGCGCGACGGAAGAGAATAATAAATTAAAAATGATCAATGACGGTCTCGAATTAGAACTAGGTCGATTGAAAGCGCAGCAAGACGAAATAAAAGATTATCCTGAGCGAATCGATGTAGAAGTTAATGGGTCAGAGGACGAAATCCGAAAACTCTTTGTCGAAAATAATGCGCTGAAAATTGAAAACACGCAGCTGAAATCCGGATTGGATCATTGTCAAGAGGAGAAAGAGCGTTTGAAAGGGGAAATTAACAGTTTGCAGAGTGAGAAAATCGAATTGCTGAGATCTTTCCCTCCGACCGTAGGTTTGTACCGGTTCTTTCAATATATTATTGGAAAATATTAGCACGGTTGTTTATAAATCAATATGGATATAATTTAAGTCGTGTAACGCTCTTCATTCATATTCGCTGGTTTTTGGCGAATCTTTTTCTCACCATTGAATTTAGCCGCGCGCATTCGCATTAAAGGAAAGACATCTTTGTAATTCCAGAGGCTGGCGTGATTAAACCGGATGAATGCGGCGACTTCGTTAAGGCGAATGAATTACTGAAGAAGCAAATTGAAAAGCAATATGACGGTAAAAACTTGCATAAAAACTTTTTCAACTGTTTTGTCACTGCGACAGTTTTTATCGCATCGTGGAGACGCGAATTTCCTTATTCATAGCCCGTAATTAGTCCGGCTAATATCCTTAATAAGTCAAGCATTTCCATAAACTTGCGAACACTCGAAGTCAACGTTATTCAAATCGTTATAATCTATTAATTACGCGATGTCAACAAAAACCGCGTGTCAGAGTTTTTGGCGCGCAGGAACAATATCTAACAATATCTAGACGAATTTCGAGATACTTAGAAAGTGACACGAACAAACTCTGATTACATAATTTCTGCAAGTTGGTTCTGCATTTGTTCTCGCGACACAATAGCCGTGCGACGCGTGCGTGATTATATACAATTTGTGGACGGCAAAATTCCGTCGAGACCCGCGATGGCGACAACGTGGGACGACGATTTTGAGATCGAGCGCTGGACCGTGCCGTCCATCGTGGAGCTACTGAGAGAATCGCAAAAGCTGTCCGAGAATATTTATCTGACGGAGCTCGAGGTGCAGGATATCGACAGACTGCTGGATCTGCTCAATGAATGCAAAAGAGACAATGAGAATTATATGAAGCAATTATCGGTGAGGCTAATAACAAGTAACGTTAGTCTAGTACACGTCTTGTTTGATAATTTATTCGGAGGATAATTTGAATTTTCCGGCTTGCATATTAACGCTGCAAATGAATCATTTCTAGGAGCTTGGTGTGGAAGTTACCAAGGTTGCAGGTGTGGATAATGGCGATGAGCTTGCAGCTTTTGACCCTGAATCTTGGTTGAAGGTATGTACGTGCGGTGATAAAGAGTTCATTCCGCTGGTTCGCGTTTTGGTTCTTTATATTTATTAAATCTCATGTCAACTTTTCTCGACGCGCAGTACTTGTACACTGAGAAAAAAAATATTTAGATAAAAAAAAATATTTATTTAGATTGTGGCCAAGAGATTATTTACTTAATATAATACACGTATTTATTTAGAATTAAATATTTTTATTTAAATTAAGTAAAAATATCTAATTCTAAATAAATATGTGTATTATATTAAGTGAATAATCTCTTGGCCACAATCTCTAAATAAATAATTTTTTTGATCTAAAAAATTTTTTTTTAGTGTAATAAATAAATGAAAGTGAAGTCGGATTATTCGTTTTTGTAATTCGTATATATGTAATTAAAAATCAAAGTATATTCACAACTCACCAACAATCGCGTTACTTCTTTTACCGTCTCTTATTTGGTTCAAACAAAAATATACTTTCTATACATGTATATATAGAAAATTATTTACATCATTTTAATTATCTATATTACATTAATATATAGATATACACATTGTCGGAATAAGTTATAAACAGGAAATATAACTCGTCCGCGCTGATACAAGATATCTTTATCTATCGTTTCCAGTCCTTGACACTAACGCAACTGGCCGAATTGCACGATAAGATTTGTTTACTGACTTCAAATATGGTGCAACAAGATAGCCCTGCGGTCTGCGACCGATCAGCGATTAATCGGGACTACGGTGGCGATCGGCTGCGGGCGGATTACGATGCTTTAAACCGGCGGATCGCCGCCTTGCAGAAGCAAATAGCCGAGAAGCAGATTGAGGCGGGGTGGAAGCTGCAGGAATTAAAACGGGCTCTTCGTCTCGAGCAGGCAAACCTGATTCGAATCTCCGACCGGATGAATCTTGAAAAAAGGCGCAACTTGGCTCTCCACCTCACCATGGATGAATCGTGATGTTTTCTTTCCCAGTATCGCAGCTGGGATGTTAAAAATGGTGCTTGCTTCGAGCAAGTTCTTGTTGCCGGACGCGCAGCAACGAGGCGAAATATATATTCCTTATATTCCTTCTTCGGATTACACTGTACAAAAATAAAGAAAGGAAACGAATTCGATCGATATTCAAAGGATTATATGTGAATGAGAATAATATAACATTACGTTTAAGTACCGTCTGATATTTTTGAATGATATTTCTGTAATTATAAACAAAATGCCGGGGAGACGAAATAAAATAGGGCGTTCTTCAATTATTACAGCTCTTTCAAAAGACCCCCGGTCCGCTTTCACGTTCCGAATGGCTGTAACAATCTCCTAGGCGATATAATTGCGATAACGTACCATATTCAGCAACAACATGGTTTTGTTGCTAATCACGATCGAACAATAACAACTAATGAGAGCCGCTTGTTTCGCGGCGCATGCTTGTGGACGCCGCCACGCGCGATAACGTGATTTCCTGTTTCATTTCGGAGGTCGCGTTGTTCGATCGAGATTAATTCAATTGTACCGCACCGCATCCGTACCCCACGACTTTACGTCGGCTCGTGCGACCGCGCTGACGCGCGGGTGTGCTACGCGGGCTCAATAGGAAGGCGAATGCCGTTGACAAAGAGTAAACATATAATTGAAATGCGCGGGTATAGATCAAACGGTGAATGAATTGTCGAAATCCGTTTAACTGTGTGTCCATCGCATAGAATCGAAATAAACTTGTAAAACGCCGATAGCAAACCGCCGCGAGAGCAGGTGCATCAATGCGACGGATTCAAGATTGCAAAAGATGTATCTTTTCTTCTTCCCCCTCTTCCCCTTTTCCTATTTTCCCTCTTTTCCATTTTCCAGGATGAAGAGTATTTTTCCATTTAAGTTATATATTCTCAGCTTGAAATCTCGGTGCACGTAGTACGAATCACATGTGCTATAACGTGTTAAAAGATGATAACGATACATGGTGGAAGAACACTCCAACGATATGATCGTGTGAATTTGTATAGCGATATTTTTGTTTCAATTGCCGAAGATGAGCTATGATTGAGTGAAACATGCAATTAAATCTGAGAAAAACCAATTTTGACAATTAAATAAAAATGCATTGTAATTTATATGATGCTAATAATAATAATAATAACAATAATAATAATAATTACGTGTATATAATGAGATTCTGTCACACAACAAAAAAATTTTCATAAAACTTCATGTATTATACGATTAAATTTTTCATTACAAAGAGAGACTTGTCACAGGTGAGATTGTTGAGAAATATAAACATAATATAAAATATTTTCTTAATTAGAATATAGTTTTAACCATATATATTTATTCTGAGACACAATATGGATGAGACAAAAAATTTCAAACGTATAATTTTTTATTTTTATTTATGTGACGAAGTTTCCAAAGAAGATGTTATCTTTATCCAAAATGTAGTCTCGTGTAATTCTGTTTTATAATTGCAATTTTGCATCGCACTTGTAAAATGTTAGAGAGACGCATTATGCATATGTGGAAGACGTAATCGTTAGTTACGCGGCTTGTTCTTATTTTGATTGCAATGAGATTTTCCGCATAACAACAGCGATTGTACGAGATATATAAGTACCAACGTGGTATTAGTGAGGAATCGCAACTGAAAGATTTATGAGAGTTTAAAAATGACTTCGTGCATTTATGAGCTTAGTTTGAGTTTGCGTATCTTTCGTATCTACCGGCGTGCACAACTCATTGCATTTCCATATTTTCTACCTGAGATTGAGATTCTAGAATCGATATTTAATTAAACATTTCGCTATGGTATAACGCAACAACAGCAACAAGAACATTCACGATTAAGTTGATTCTTATCTCTGGATTCTCCAGAAGTAATTAATCATACTTAATATCAATGTAGATGGTTGTCCATTTGTATCAATCCGTTCTAGATAAACGAGAAAAAAAAACGTCATTTAAATAGAAAAGAATAAAATATTAGAATGGAATAAATATAGACAAAATAAAATATTACAAGTTGATCTTTTTAAAAAGTCTTTAACTCTTGCATTCCTAAATTATTTAACAGTTATAAAAAGAAATATTCGTTTGTATTTTTCCGCATGTTGCATGATAAATGAACAATTCGTGAAAACATTTTTAAAACATATAATTAAGGATTTTTCGTAATGGCGCTAAATAAAAAGCAATAACATTTTACATTTTCAAAAAATTTTTAACTACATATAAAAGTATGTGCTTCATATACAATCGTAAAATGCTATTTTTACAATCATTTATGTGAAACTATAAGGAGTTAATATATTATAATTAATAAATAGGAGGCGGCATGTCGTCTACTGACTAATAATCATTATCTCTGATAGCAGTCGAACAATGCCACAGTTTTGACGAGTCCTTCGACAATTGAACGACTAACGAATATGTCGTTCCAACATACATACTTTTACTTATATTTTAATTTTTTGGATATCAACGCACAAATTATTTTTTAGATGTGGCGTAGTTTGGGCATTATGCTGAATTAATAAATAATTTGTATCCATACGGTTAAAAAGGACCGAAATCACGGTCGAAACGTAGCGTTTTTTAAATAAATTTGGCCAGTTGGGTCGAGTAAACGACACTTACGCTGATTTCTTCAATACACACTGGCGATTTAAAATTCTTATTTAATTGAGTAAAAGGTTGGGGACGTCCCTACAAAAACGCCTTGCAACCCTGAGGGGAGTCAATAAACGTTTTTTATTATAATTAATATTTATATATAAAATATATACTGTAGAAATATTTTATTTCATAATTCATAATACGTAAGCTATATTCTCATTTAGAGCAATAGGAATACAAATGATACGTTATCTTTCCACTTTGATTTATAACAAAGGAAGATATTACTTTTATGTATAATGTTTCGTAATGTAACAGATGCGCAAGTGCTGTCTGCTCACTTATTGTACTTATAAATGCTTTTAACCGTTTAAGATTTCCTTACAAAGCTTTTCGCGTTCTAAAAATAAAAAATATGAGTTTTAACTTATTGTCAGTAATTTATTAATAGATAATGAAATTTTACTATGATTAAAAGTGGAATAAATCAACATATCTGTAACTCAATATGTAGCACAAATATAATGAGGCTATGATTATAAAATCCACCAATATATATGTTTTGAGTCATTCTCTCCTAAGTCGCGTAGCAGAAGCAGTGGAAAGTCTTCTTAGACTGTTGCGCAGTTGACATCAGTGTTTTCTCGTAAATGTCGTTGATCTGTTATCAGTATTTGAGCTGAGGCTGCCGTGAGTGAATTGAACAATTACAAAACAGGTGTCATAATAACCGTAAAAGCGGTCAGTTAACTACGATGGCTGCGGGCATGTTAGAAATTCTCTGTGCCTGCGTGGTGATCTTATATTTACTTTATTATTATTTCACCGTCGACTTTGACTATTGGACATCGCGCGGGATTATTGGACCGAAACCCGTCCCGCTCTTCGGCAACATCGCCGAATTCATGCTGGGCAAGAAATGCGCATGGGCGATTT